GGGGGGCGGGAAGTTCCAAGTATGGGAGCAATGGGACTCTGTAGGGGCTTCCAGGTGAAGGTGGCTGGGGCTCAGCAGAGGGGTCTAGGTGTTGAAGGAGGGGGATCAGCAGGGGATCTAGGTGCCAAGGGGAGTGGGGCTTGGTGGGAGCTAGTTGGGGGTCAGCAAAGAAGTGACTGCAAGCCAACAGTCTTGTCTCCGGTAGGAGCAACACGGTTAAGGCAGGCAACCGTGGAGCCTGGAAATACTCCAACCAGAAGGGAGGGACACATGGGTCTACACACAAGAAAGTCAATGGCTAAGGTGGCAGAAGACAAACAGTTGGTGTTCAGGCAGGACCACTGACGGGAAATCTAGTTACAGTTGCCTCAACTGTGACAAATATTGCACTCATTCTTCCCCACTTCATTCAGGCTGGGACTAGCAGTTACATCAAGGTGCAGCAGACAGGGTTAAGAGGGTGAACAGTTCACCCAAAGTAAGGATGCTTGAATCCTCACCCATTTTAACCATCACAAATCTTCTTTGATCTTGAAATTTTTTTCCCATTTCCATCTAAAACTAAAAAAGTTGAAGTGATTGCCACAACTTCTGGCTCTTTATCATCCTCTACAACTTTTGCACTCCCAGTTAGTGACTGAAAAGCTTAAGGGTAGGAGCTCAAATTCCACCTGGAAATGTACATAACATTTTATCTACTTATCTCAATTATTCAAACCTCAAAGGGGCCTCATCAAAGCTGTTCAACCCTGTGTTTCTGTTTATACAAAGGGTAAAATTTCTTCAGCTTTCAAGGACAAGCAAGTTCTTTCTTCTTCCCATGGTGCATTAAGAGGACTAACTGATAGGTCTGACTCCCACATAGCCACTTTCTGGCAATGGCCAGTTGCTCATTGCTGAAAATACTGGGAGAAATGTCTTCCTGACATTCCATACAATACAGGACAAGATGCACATGCTATCACAAACTCCGTATCACAAATTTCACACATGAACCCTGGTATCCGAGTCTTATTTCTATACTTTATTTCTATAGCCTGTTATTTTAAGTAAGAATATGTTAAATTTAAACAAGTGAAAATTACTTTTATTGACCCACCTGTTTTCCCAAGTTCCTCAGCAAAGAATGGAACATCAACATCAGATGGAAATTCATCTTCACTCAATTCTTCCTTGGCAGTGGTCTATAATAAAATACAGTGATTTCACTATTTCCATTACTATGCCATTAATATAGAAGTTTTATCTAAATGAAACAATTTCTGGTACCTGCTACCAATTCACAAATTTAAGGATGCAATCTGAATGGCACAGATCAGGGGTGGCCAACCCACGGCTTGCGAGCCACATGCTGCTCTTCAAAGGAAAAATTGCGGCTCCCACACCCGCAACTTTTCTGTGTTCCCCTGCTCTGACCTTTTTCCTTGTCTGGTCAGGGCACCACTTGGGGCAGCGAGATCTTACACTGCAGCCGACGGAAGCCTGCTTGGGCTACACACAGCTCTTAAAGGGACAGCAGGTTTTTTGTGGGTTGTTTGTTTTTTTGGGGGGTGGAGGGTGGGCTCAACAACTTTGCAGCCAATGAAAGCCTGCTTGGGCCACACACAGCTGTTAAAGGGGCAGCGTTTTTGAAACTTTTTTTTTGCTCAACAACTTCTTTCCCTCTGCTCTTTGCGCTGTATCCATCACTATTTTGGCTCTTTGTCTCTAACAGTTTGGCCACCCTGGCATAGATTTTAAAAAAGACACCATAAATTAAGAACTAAGGTGAACGTAAATCTGTATGCAACACACTGAACTATAAATCTTATCATGTACACAATAAAGCAACGTAACTGACAAATTCAAAAGTCTTTTAAGTCCATAGAAAATATCCTGTATGAACATTCTAATTAGTTGTAGGATCAGAAGAAAAATTTTGGTTCTCCATATACACACACAATATTTTTAAGTTAATGATTCAAGGAGATCAATAATGAGTAACATCATTCCACCCAGAGGAGTGGACAGTATGCTCAGCATGTTTATGAACTACAAAGGAGATAATAGGTCCTTTCTTCTCTACAAGAGGAAGTTCTCATTCAGGTTGAAGTTATTGTCAAAAAAAGCACATCTGCTCAATCACACCTGCTTCATGATTGCCTGTATTTTATAAACAAAGAATATAAACTCAACAAATTTAAAAAGTTCACAATACTTACTGGGAGATTTATAAAGTCTGCAGGTCCTATTTAAAATAGGAATAAAAAAAGTAGCAAATATCCTCCAGAAAAACCTTCCTTAGGCAAAAGTGTGGGTAAAAAACTTTAGACTGTGCCCTGAAGTTTATTATATATGGGTTTAAACTTTTAGGGTAAATAAGCCAAAGAACTGAGGGCCTTTTCCTTAGAACACTAAGCCTCCAACATATGAGAGCCATTACCCTGTCATTTTTAGTCAGGTAAATGAGAATCTTACACTAGCAAGAGTTGCTGTAGCCTCTAGAAACACTATTTAACACAAGTAGCCACACTGCTTTCAGTTTTTAGCAGTTACTGATCAGATCCCATTTGTAACTCATTAGAAAAATGGAGAAATACACTGACAGCATCACAGAAGTTATTGTAATTAAACTGCTATCTCGATGTGATGGGGTCTATCAGCCTTTGCTGTCTTAAGCCCTGACACCTTCTGCTTAAATGAAACTTACTTGGGCTGGGATAACAAGATGTACTTCTCCGTAGGCCCGGAAGGAGTAGGAGGAGACACAGATTGACAGGGAAGCAGAAAGCCAGTTAAAAAGGCTTGTCTGCTTCTTCTGAGGTAAGTGCTGGGTGAGATTAGGACCATGGAAGTGATCCTCAGAGCTAGTCCAAAACCCCAGTTCCAAGAAAGTTCCTTTGTTTAAACACTGCAACAAAGCAGTTGCCTTTTCTATTTGTTTATTTAAAGATACAGACAACCTACTTCTGACTTTATTATTTAACAGTTCAAAGACTTATGCCAAGAATATGTAAACTGAGGCAGGGAGCACTTAAAAGGCCACCCTTCACCAGCAGGAGGCATTATGGGAAAACCACATCTGTGATATGGGGATTGATTCAGAATGAAAGAAAGATACAGGGAAGATTAGGCAGAATATTAAAAAAAAAGTCTCCCTACATCCATGTGTTACCACTAGAGATGTAGGCAACTAGTAGACTACTCAATATGCCTAGGCTTATTGGGTAGTTGAGTCACTACTTGACTAGTTGCTTCCCCACAGCCCTTGCAAAACCACATCTGTGATATGGGGATTGATTCAGAATGAAAGAAAGATACAGGGAAGATTAGGCAGAATATTAAAAAAAAAGTCTCCCTACATCCATGTGTTACCACTAGAGATGTAGGCAACTAGTAGACTACTCAATATGCCTAGGCTTATTGGGTAGTTGAGTCACTACTTGACTAGTTGCTTCCCCACAGCCCTTGC